TTAACAGGTTATACGGATCGCCATCACCCTATATTGTGTTGTTTATTTAGTCTCTGGTTTCGGACTCGTTTAGATGTCTGTTGCCAAACCACGCACATGTTTGTCGTCGGACCATGAATAAGCAATTATCTAGAATTGAAGTTACAAGAGAATAAGTCTGTCATACTGTTAGACTTCATTAATTGAACTCCTAAAATATCCAAATGACTTATGATGTAAGGAAGCGTGATATAAAGTTGTACCTGTCCTTTGTCTGCCACATGTGTACTTTTCTTCTTTACTTGATGTATTACGCATACTTTATCACCTATTTTTCTACACTTTTTTGTCCTCGCGAGGTCATCGTATTTTTTATTTTATTTTTTTTCTTTTGGTTCGTGATTTCTCAAGAAAATTAATTTCAATTATAAACCTTTTTAAAAAACTTGGAATAAATGTTATCTCTTTCATATATTTACTCATTTTTTAATATTTTTTTTAACAACCACTTAGCAGTCCTTGGAAACAATTCCATCTTGGTCAAGCGCTGCGGCACCATACCGAATCTTCATCGCTCTACTTCTTTCCACACTGCTTGGTTAACATGCAACGTCATTATTTATTTATTTTTTAATAATATTTATTGTAATAGGTTTGTGGACTGGAAGCATCGCTGGTGTTATTTTATGTATTTTATCTGGTTCATTTTACCTTGAAAGTTGCTGTGTTGGGGATTCATTGTTGGAATCCCATTTCTTCAAATGTTTTTTTTTTAGTTTGTGTTATGAGAGTCCACCTGTCTACTGAAATGAAAAAATGATCAAAATATTTTCATTTTCTAGGTGCCATTTATCAAAATGGCAGACGCTCCAGGAATTATGTGGGTAAATGAAATGGCTTGTGACGATAAAGTACAATCTATGTAAAATGTGTCCACAACATAGTTGGCAAAATTAATAGAAAAATTCAATCTCCGGTTTTTTGAAAAATGTTCAAGAGTCGAAGAAGAAGTTGAAAAGCCACACTTTACCAAGGATCGGATTTTTAAAAAAGGTTCCATCTTAACAATTCGGATGAAACTTCTTCGTAAAAAAGTATTAAAATAAAAGTTACAAAGAACATTTTATTTTTTAAATAAAGTTCTGGGTTTGTTGTAAAGGTTTATCTTTCATTTTCTTAAGTACTTAAAAATATGACGTTAAGTTATAAATAACCATTAATTTGGCATATACTACAGAATGAATCGCTTGATTCTTATATTGAGAACCTACTACACTATCACCATTTTTTAGATTTATTTATTGGCGAAATTGATTCCTTTCCCATAACATTTTTAAAAGAAAAAGTTCTACAAAACCTTTAATTGAAAATTTTCATGATAAAAATACACATAATAATGAAATAATACATAAACAATAAAAAATAAAAGTACCAGACAATACTGGAACTGTAATTGATTTGTAATAAAAGTTATATTTTCTTTTTAAATCCTGCACTTTACTATACAAGGCAGTTCAGCATTAAGTCTAGTCCTACATCAATGAGACCATATATTGATATCAATACTAGTAAAAATAATACTCTTTCTCATATTTTCTATCACACATGTGGATTTATTTTGATGATTTCACTAATCAACTTCAATGTAAGAAAGTTTTAGTCGTAGAGTGCAGCTAGGCGAGGTGAATTGTAAAGTTTCTATGAGAGGTTGAAGCGTACACATGGGAAAGGTTCTGTAGAAAGTCCAAGTCCCAAAGAAGGACTTATTAATGGAAACTGCATTGTCCCCCAGCTCGGAGCGCATGTTTTTGCACCATTACTAGAAATTGCTGATGTTGAATGAAAGGTGGTTGTGCGTCTTGCTTAACTTGTTCTTTTACAATTAGAAGAAATAGCCTATATTAATTAGAAGCTAATTGGATCGTTATTAATATCTCTCTTCTTTTTTTTGTAAACATATTTTTTTTTTCATTTCAAATGAATCTGTATCTTAAGAGTTTATATCAGGGCTTGAAATGGAAAAAATCTTTTATTTTTAAAAAGTTTCGGCATCACTGGTACTTTTACTATCGACAGTTTTTCAGTTCTTTTGGAACTTGCAACTATCCAAGGAAAGGTTTTATAGAACTTCTATTTAAAAGTTCTGTCAATTTTGCTCAAAAGAATGTCAATTATTCTCAGCTGCTCAAACTGACGGCACATTCAAATCACGTGTAATTCATTTAAGAGCCTGAATAAATACAAATTAAAATTTTATCATAAACCTGGAACTTTATTACAAATGTTCTTTAGAACTTGTATTTAAGTTCCATAAACGTTTCAACCCCTAGTTTATTACTTTACTCATTGAGTTTATTAAGGGGCTTAATTGTTCATGAAGTTTATTTTTAGTTGATAATTACTGACTACTGTCCCTAACACTGGATTGAATTGTAATTTAAAATATGAAATATGTACAGTAGACTCTCGATAATTCAAAATCCAAGGTGCTACAAGAAAAAATATCAAGATTTCGAACTATTAAGAACTGTTTTTCGGAAATATGTATGGGCTTACATAAACTTTATATATACATAGCCTCATGTAAAAAATAATTACATTCTTTACTGGCACTACACTCCGCGAGGGAGCAAGGCCGCCAACAACATTGAATGCCAACCATCTCTTTGTTGCGCCGCTGCTCTCCAGTTATGTATGTATGCCCAGTATGGACCGAAAATCTTCCGCCACACCGTCAGCCCACCTCAACCTGTGTCTGCCTTCTCATCTCCGTCCCCACAGCTGTTCCTCCAGTACCTTCCTCGGGATTTGGTCCTCGAACATTCTCGCTAGGTGTCCAGCCCACCGCAGCCGACCTGTCTTAATGAAACTAACAATGTCAGTATCCTTCCAGAGACTTAACTAATTACATTGCCTCCAGCCTCCATCAACAGCAATTCCCCCGTAGATTGTGCCGAGTATTCGTCGCTCAAATCTTGCCAGAGCCAGTTCTTGAGTTCTGGGAAGGGTCCAACATTCCGATCCATAGGTCAATACGGGTCTAATGAGCGTTTTGTACAGCCGCACCTTGGTAATCCTAGATACATCCTTGCACTTGAGGTGTCTCTGGACACACACAGCATCTGTTTGCTGCCATTATTCAACGATGGATTTTGGGGTTGATGTCATTCGTGGAGTTCACCTGGGTTGCGAGATAGATGAATTCATCTACCCTCCCGAAGACGTTCTGCCCAATACGCACATGATGACCGCCAACCACAGAGTTCGCGTGCAAATAATTAGTTTTTGACTCGTTTATAACAAGTCCCATTCTTGCACTCTCTCCCTGCAGGTCGAGAATGGCGTTCCTCATTCTACCAATAACATCGACATCATCTGCTTAGGCCAGGATCATAATCGGTTTGTTGAACACCACCGCTCCACGGACTTGGATCTTTTATCTCCGCACTGCACACTCTAGACCGAAGTTAAAAAGGAGGCATGCTAGGCCGTCTCCCTGCCTAGTCCCTTGTTAGTGAAAAAAACCTTCGGACATACCTCTCTGGACCCGCCCTCACTTCCTTCATTGCCAGCGGGCCAACGAACAAGTTTCGGTGGTATTCCCAATTCTAGCATTCCCCTGTACAGCTCTTTCCTTGATATACTGTCGTAAGTCGCTTTAAAGTCTAGAAATAGGTGGTGGTTACTGATCCGGAATTCCCTCTCCAGTATGATTCTGAGAGAGAACATCTGATCGGTCTTAGACTTTCCTTATATGAATCCTGTCTGATAATAACCTATGTAAAATGTAATGTTAAAAATACTACTAGGAAAATTTCGAATTATAAAGAAGGAAGTGGTCTAGTTCGAATTATATAACGTTCTCTCCCCCTCTTGTTACGAAAAGGATTTCGAGTTACAGAATGTATCAAAATACAGAATTTTTTGATTTACCGAAGTTAGCATCTGAAGAGTTTGAATGATCGAGAGTCGACTGTAGTAATGTTCTTGAATATAATTTATAATTTCAATCCCTCATAAAAATTCTAAAATAACCTGCCTTAATTCTCAAACTTCACAAGATTTTAAATAAAACTTTGGTTGCTAATGACCTCCTTTTTATAAATTGTAGAATATTTTAACTACAAAACGTCTTGGAAACATGTATATTATATATAGCATGTGCATGGTTACTACTCCATTGGGCCTGAAATAATTAATAAATTTAGCCAAGTAACTCCTTACAGTCAAAAATTGAGTTTTTCGGTATTAAAATTTATACACCGAATTGCGCTTGAATTTTCCTTGTCGAGTATTAGTTTTTGAGAGGATTGAAAATTAATTTTTTTTCTTGTTCTTCGTTCACGGAGTCTTCTTTGTTAAGGAAGACTTATTAAAAGGATCCTTATTTATAGATATCCTGTTGGGTAGACTGGTTAAATATCTGCCTTTGTAATGGAGACAGTCTTGTAGCTAATTAGGTATTCTAAAAACATACATCAACCTAAGCATCCTAAAATAAAAATACTTGAAGTAGGTAATTTATAATAATATAAATACGACTTGTGTACACGTGTTTGTTGTCTCCAATTTTCTTCTATAGAATAGTATCGAAACTGCATCGTACTATCAAGACCAATTCGTTTAGTAAATTGACAATGTTGAACAACAAATATTTCATTTATGCGGACTAAATTAATTTTATCACTAATTAAATTAAATTTTAATGATTTCGGATGGGCTGTAATTGAAGGAAGGTCCCGTACTGCCTTCCAAAAAACCTATGAGTAAACTAACCGTTATAATGAAGAAACTGATGGAATAAAGTTAGTGAGAAATATTGAATGACTGTGAACTTGTTTATTGCTTAATATCCGTGATTTAGCACTTTCGTGGGATCAGTGTTTTCATTTAGTTTTGGATTACATCTTACATCTCCGCAACTGTTTAAAATATTTTATTCGTATTCAAGTTCCTTACTTCCCTCTCTTGAGGAACTATTGTACCAGTTACTATTTCCAGCCCCCACCTGTGTCGACCCATCACGAGACTTCCCTTCTTACCCTAGCGGTTGGTGCAATGGCAGCTATTTCCGAGGAGCTGTAGTTAATACAATCCGATCGGTTACGGTCTTTAAATTCACAGTTGACTGATTTCTGCACCGTATCTAACAAGACTAGTCGTCTTAAAGTCGTTCCATCATCTGATGTCGGTTCAGAATTTTATGAAGACACTTCTTTGATATTCAAATAGTATCTAATGGATTTACAGAGGTAAGATTCTTAAGGGAAATTCAAATATTTACAAATGAATGCGTATCGTATATTGTGATACCAATCAAAATGAGTTGGAGATAACAAGGCTCGAAGAACTACAAATACACAATCCATAATCATGATACATGTAGAAAAATGTAGGCTGGATGATTACTACAAATACAAAATCCACAATCATGAAAAATGTAGTCAAAACGTTTTATGATTCTTACGCAATATATTTAACGTAAAAGACACCACTGAATAAGAATTGATGGTTTGTGATAAATTAGCAAAACATATTTAGCGATTTCGAGATTAAAAAATTAATAAAGCATTAGCACAAAATATTTATGAAATTGTAAAAATTGATAGTTCAAAGTGCTCATTTTTGGAAGAATAACTCATGACTATTTAAAGTAAATTGCTTGTAATCTATTGACCACTTTTTAATTAACCACCGTTTTGAAGGATATAGGTGTGAATATTCTCCCACTTGGCCTCTTACTTAAAGACAAGTAACATAAAGACTAGAATCGATGTCGAAAGGAATGGACTGCCGCAATGCGCATTTATTACAGGATAAAGTGGGGTAAGTGCAACCACGGGGCAAGAATGGCCATGGATGGTTTTTGTCCTAGAAAATATTATTTTTTAGAAAAAGCCACTTGGTTTGTAATTTTAGAAAATTCTCTTTAAGTGTCCACTAAATAGCCTGAAAATCCAGCTTGTATATTTTCCTACTCACATTTTACATTTTCCTACTCAACGAATGTTCGACCATGAAACTTTGGCATCTTTTTTTATTTTTGACTTTCAATCCAGGATAACCAAACTTGGTGTTTTTATAAAGTTTAATGTGTAGTTTATTTTGTTAGAGAGGCGTGTCTAAACTTGCTTCGTCATTTTTGCAGACGGTGCACTTCCAGCCACGGAGACTTGGGTTAGCCCGTTGCACTTGCCCCGCAGTAAATTTCTTGAAAAGCAAAATATAATCAAGAAATCAAACAAAAAATTTAAATAAATCTTAAAAATTTACTAAAAATATTTTAATTGTAGGATATTGTAGCAACAAGATAGCACTAAATACTGTGTGCTGAGTTGTATTTCCATGTTCCTAATAGTTACCTCACAGTAGCTGTTTAAAAATGAAAAAAATAAATAAACCTGGTTGCACTTACCCCACTTCATCTGATTTTTGTTATTTTGAGATATTCTCGCTTTATTGGCACATCGATAGATAACGACTTGGGTTTCATAATTTCGTCATTTTGATAAATATTAGTCTTACACATTCGTAAAGTATTAGTCTCATGGGAACTGTCAAGTGTAATATTTGCGATACAATTAACAATTAGTGATTTTGCTTTTTGATTAGGATATGGCCATATCATTTCTTTATTATTTATTTTAGATGTTTTTTCGCATTAGCCAGGCTTTTTTCCATACCTGCTTTTCTTTTGCTATTTCTTTCTAGTTATTTGCGTGCAGCTTATTGCATCTTTGTTAATTCGATCTATCTGCTTTTTGGCTTTCCACCTGTTCTCTAGTCTACTACTGAGGCATTTGTTGTGTAGAGGCTTCCTGATGGATTACTCTTAGCTACATACATCGCCCATCTTACTCCACTCGGCTTCATATGATGAATTATTAATTGACAGGTTTCTGTAAGCAATTCTTTATTGATCCGCCTCCATGTATTAACAGTCCGATCCCAGATCCTACCGGTTATCGAACAGAGGAGTTGTCTCTCAAATTTTTCAATACTTCTTTCTAGAATGCTGATTGGTGTCCAGGTTTTGCATGGTGTCCTGGCTTTATCAACGTATAGTACAACCATCATTAGATATTTCTTGATATTTTTCGAGATTTTGACACCTTTGAAAGAGAGAAGAAATTTTGGTTACTCTTATTATACCCTAACCTGTTTCCGACTGTTGATTGTTGAGGTTATAGTGGTTCTACTGGAATTTTTAAATTGGTTATTGGGTTGAATTTTTAGCATATTGTATATCTTGTTATTATGTACTGCATATATTCTTTTTTATAAATCTGTGCCTCGGAGGTAAAGACACATGACACGAATTTCAACAACTCAAAGTTATGAATACTTGGCTACCCGAACAAATACAAAAATCTGAAATGGTGTCCTTTTCCTCCAAGGTGCATATTTAGTAACTAAGAAACAAATTTTAATAGCTCAAAGCTATGAAAAATTGGCAGCCTTGTAAAAATGCAAAAACGGCCATGATATTCTTTACCGTCCGGGGTTTTGAAATGTAACGAACTTTCTACTACATAACAAACATCATGGCTACAACCTGAGAGCGCGATAAAGCAGATTAGAGCCGACAGCGGAGAGATAAAGATAAGGAGACGACAGTTGGGACGAACCTCGACAGATAGCCTTTAGCCCGTGTCCTATCTGCTCCAACCGCCAGCGGCCCAGCAGCCAGCAGCCTCTCTTATCTAGCGGCCTCTCCGCCGTCTTCTGCTCTGGGCCGCCTGCGAACCAAGAGCAACGGTTTCTCTTTTCTGCCAGGCCTCCTTTCTAGCACGTCTGATGGGATCGATAAGAACCGCGGTCTCATAGCAGTGGGAGGCCTGCATCTCGGAAAGATCAGAGCTCCTCATTGCTCATCTGTTATATCTGCACCTTGGAGCAAAAAGGGTCAATGTCCAAAACATTTAAATTGTAATGAGCTATAGGAAAGAAATTAGTAGTGGGTAGACATTTTTTTATTTTATCTTCTACCCCCTTCCCCAAGCTTATTGGCAATGTGGGTATTTGCTGAACTGGGATGTAATGCAGGACTGCGCAAAAACCTACTTCAGCAAGTTTAACAGGTTATGCCGTACACATTATTTTTCCTATCCAAATTTAAGACTTATCCTGCGTTTCTGGAATCCGGCGATCTTCCCGGAGCTCCTCGACTTCTTCGAGCTCCAATGTTAAATTAGGCTCTCACTAACCGAGGAAACTCCTCAGTAAGGGTATACATTACTTGTAAAAAGTGCTGTTCTATTATTAATTTTTCTCAAAACTAATAGAGACACTTTTAACTATTAATACCCTATACTTATACCCTACCTGTACTTAGTTCTCTCATTTCTTTTCTTTTAGTTACCTATTAATACGTTTGGTTATTGCGTTTTATGTTCCGAGTGAAAGATATATTTCAGGTTAATCTCTATATTTTGACCAATTATAAAATTAATTTACAACTAAGTCTCGTTTTACTACCATTAAGTTCATATAGCAAGGGATTACTGATTACGCTTTTGCTTTTATAAGGATGTTTAGTTATGTATTTTATTTCTTACATTTTAAGTGGCTGTGTTTTTTTTTCATATCTATATATATATATATATATATATATATATATATAGAGAGAGAGAGAGAGAGAGAGACCGAAATTGTTAAAAAGTGCAATTTATTTAAAGTGCTACCTACAAATAAGATATCTATTCTTATGTTATTCTGAAGTTTTGTCATAGCAGATGGCTTGAACAAAACACCAGCTTACTTCATTTTAAGCCGTGGAATAACACGCTCTACGTCCAAAATATCAAACTGTGTCTAGCAACCGATTGGAAATCACGCTCTGTAATTTAATAAGCAAAAAGCAATCGCTTTAAAAAAAGTACTCAATATTTCTCACTATTCAGTTTCGCTATCAATGTGTCAAGGTCATAGGTTGTTGGCTCACTATTTTTATACTTTGGAGCTCACAGCTTCTCAACATATTTTATTTGTTTTGTCGGATAGTTCCTTCGGATTAGGTAGTACTATTAATGTTTAAAATAGTTGTTCAGTTTAAGCTATAATGAATTTATTACTAGGTCTTAACCATTCCAATAATTATTTACATTTTATTTAGTTTTGTCATATTTTAAATTTATCTTCTTGCTACAGACTTAATTTCTTATAATATATTAAGCTGCTTTTACAAATATATTTTACATTGTTCATTATACATCCATTGCATAATCTTTTTCTTTGTTTTTTTTCTAGATATTCTCGCTTCATTGCAGTAACGATAGATAGCGGCTTGGGTTTCATAATTTCGTTATTTTGGTAAGTAGTAGTTTTACACATTTTTTAAAATATCAGTCCCATTTGGACTGTTTTGTGGTATCATTGATATTAGCAATCAATTTAACTGTTAGTGATTTTGTTTTTCTATTACGATATCGCCATATTATTTCTTCATGATAGATATTTTAAGGGGCAATGTCCTCGGAATTAAGATTATGTTCATTCTTTGAGAATGGTTTCGTCTACTTAATCTTATCTGATGTATATTTTTAATTCATCTAGATATCTTTAAGTTATAAAAATAAATAAAAATTGTAGTTCACATATTTACATCTTTTTTATGTTAAATATATTACATTTCTTTATTGATTAATATTACATTTTGTCGCCTTTAAGGACACTAGTAATAGTGATGAAGTAGCTCAATCCCACTCTATATACACTAAATACAAATAAATTAAACTGCAAAGTATAAAAAATTAAAGACTGATATTTATGTCTTCGCTAATAATTCGCTTTTATCATAATTCTGACTTACAATTACAACTTGGAACATTGATATTCGTGCACTTGTTGTAAATGCTTAATGTGTTATCATTCTAAGCAGTCAGCATAAATTTTGAATGAATGGTAAATAACCTGTCTATACTTAAGTGTTATCAGTTATATGCCTGTAATGTAAATAAAGTTTGTTAGTTCTTAATTGATCTAATAAATTTTTCATTTATTTTTAAAATGCCAAAGCGAAGTGTGAAAAACTGAGTTGCTGGATTATTTGGTTAAAAATGCTTTATTGAAAAGCATGAATGAAGATTCAGAAGGCAAAGAACTTGATGGATTCATGGATTAAATCCTTGCTGTCCTTTCATTCCATTCCATTCAATTTCTGTGGATATATTGTACACAATCAAAGAACAAAGAAACAAACACATTAAAACCTTACAATAACCTACTGCATGCGTTTACGAAGTTTGCAACACTTTAGGCCGCGTTGAAATCGTGAGTGCTAGCGGCCATATTTAACACATATTTCGTAAATAATTTTCTCGACTTTGCACATTTAAGAAGGTTGCAATACCTATCACTGATTGAGTGAATACCCCTAATATTTTAGTACAGAGAAATATTCTGAAAATAATTCTTTTTGATTGAGTTTTTTTTTTAATGTCACGTTTCATAAGTTAGTAGGCTGTAAATGTTCAATGCTTCAGATCCTTTATCCCTTTTTACTTAGCACTCGAATGAATTTCTCTTGGCTTAGAAGTTTAAGAATGTAAGTTCCCCTATCTCTATAACTGAGGTCAGGTGTTCCGAATTAGTTAAGCATTCCTTTATTATTCTCTTAAAGTTGAATACACCTGCGTTTATCCACACCTGTCGTTGAATTTCCAAAGTGGAATATCCATTGGTTCGAATTCTTACTGTTTAATTTTGAGTATTTATTATATTCGCATTAATTATAATTTTAGAAACATTGTAACTTTATTTTTCTGCAAAAATACATACCATAAACCTTCGTAAAAAAAAAACTGTTCACAAGATTCCTCAAATTACCCTCATTCCTTTTCCATCTAGTGGAGAAACATTTGTTTGACCTCTTTGTACAACCGCCAGATAAAGCAGTTTTCGCGTAGAATCCTCTAGGCATGACAACATTCCATCCTTCGTACAGTTTGTAGACCTCATGCTTTGCAATGGAAAGATATAAATGTATTTATTAATAAAATAGTTGGCCTTAGTTACAGCATGAGAGATAATAGTTAGAAAGTAATAGAGGGTCAACAAAAAAATGGAACACCCATTAAAAAGTAATAATATATTATTATGTATAAATCAACTTGTAATACATACAATAATAATATTCTAGTAAAAATATATTATATCATTACTGAGTTTTTATTTTAACTCTCGGCTTAATGTATTTAATAAGATTTTATAATATATTTAATTTAAAAAAAAAAACAATTTTGAATTTTATATTTATATCTCATCCTTCTATCATCTCATTTTTTAAAAAAGATTTGTTATAATTTTCATAAAACATCCCTGAATTATGTGGACTTCTCTAGGGAGAGCCTAGTCAGACACTGAACCAATAAATAAATAAAATAAATAAATTTACAAAATAATAATTATGAGTATAATGATAAAAATAAAACAACAAAAAAATTATCAATATAAACTGTTAAATACTCGATAAGGAATTTACTGCAATCTTGACCTGATTGCAGTAAATTTTCGATGTGCTATTTTCAATAGATATACAGATTTATTTTTTAAATTTTTAGTGCATCATTTGTAAGAAAATTAAATTACACAACGGATAAATTCTCTATATCGGACTTTGAACTAATGTTTTTAAAAGTATTTTTCGAGCATTCAGTGAAGGTTTACATGGATTTTTTTTTCTTTTATCTTTATTTTCTGGAATGACTTTTAAAACTAAATATCTCTTTGAATATTGCAGATGCTTTCTTAAAGTATGATTAAATTATTTAAAAAGTTGGTTGAAAATGTAATAAAAAAACTAATAAATAAATTTAAAAACTCGTTTTAAGATAAGAAAGAATTGAAAAAGTCGCCCAAGTGCCAAAACACATGTGAATTAGTAAATTATTTTACCTAATGATTATACGAGTAGTTTTATATCAAAGAATGAAATCTGTCATTTTCAGATAGTGGAGAAGAACTCAATTTTTGTTTTATAGGTACAATTCAAACCGTCTCTGATTTTGTTCAAGTTGGTTCATGCAAAGAAATCATTAGAATAGGTTTGAACCAATTTTAAGTTAAAGCAATGTTGTAAAAAAATTGGCTTTTACTAAAAATGACAGATGTCCGTCTTTGATATGAGGCCTCTCATATAGTATCAATACTGTCCATGATATAAAAAGGGGGAAATAATAGTATAATAAAGTATTGTAGTCAAACGTCCGATTTTAGCAAATTTTAGTCCATGTTTTATTGTTTGTTTTTTTTGTGTTTTTTTTATGTTCTTGAATTTTTTTCAAGTTGTCAAAGTTGTTGTTACCATAAACAATGTGGTACTATTTATTAACTCCTGTTTCGAGAAATATAAACTGTAGTACTCCATGGTGATGGCAGACGAAGTATTTTTCTATCATTATGTTATAAAAAAAATTTCAATGTCGCTGTCAAAGAATAATGAATTATCCACGGGTCGAGTGCCCCAACTCCTCCATTACGTTATCTCTTGCATTCGCCTCATCTACTTGTACCTTTGTCTTTTCTCCATTAGTCACTGTCTTCAATTCACTCTCTTATCATCTGCCATCTTAATTGAACAGTTTTGCCAATATTCTTTCACTTATTTGTTAATTATTTTCGTTATTTGTATGGTTTGATAGCTTGTTCTATTGATGGAGATAAATTTATAATAAAACAAACAACTAAAAAATTGACGAATAATTTTATTTTTGTAATTTAATATAAAATCATTTTATTACAATAATTGCCATATTATTTTAATAAAAACTAATTTGATATTTGAAGAAATAAATCTGGTTTTAGTGAGTTTGGTAATCAATCAAAGGAATAAAAAAAAAGTCTTTAATTATAAAATCTCCCGATTTTTCTAAAGAACTTTTTTTTTTTTAAGTCTGATGTATGGTTTCTTGAGGTACGTGGTCTAAGTTAACATTGAGCATTATTTCTGACATATGTGATTTTTCATTAAATTGTGGAAAAACTATGAAAAAAATGACATCGTTTCATGATATGGAGTCAGTTTAATCTATCTTAAATTACACATCTAAATTAAACTTTCTTGTGAGAATGTACATATGCGTATATCAACAGATAAAATAACATGATTAGTTAATACTAACAAAGAGGTAATTTTTAAATTATTGTGCTTATTGTTTTTAAAAAATTCTTCTTTTGAAGGAATAAAAACGTATTGAGTAAGTGTGGATTTCATTTAATTTTATAATACGACGTTCTTAAAAGCATAATTTAAGCTAAAATTGTCTATATACCTGGAATTTAATTTTTTTTTTATCCAGGGTGATTAAACCATTTCTAGTTATCCAAGGACAGTTACTTTGTAAAGGATGAGTTTCCATTTAAAGTTTTGTCCTGACCGCAGTGAAAGTTGTTAAGCCTTGTACCTGTCTGTACCACAGGACCATCTGCTAATAATTAATTTATTTTAATCTGTGGTTAAGGGTTATGGCTCTGCTATCTGTTTATATTTTTATGTTTTCATAAATTGGCTATATTATTTCAGTATTGGGTAGTTCCACTATTAACTGCCAGTTTACTCAGATTTAGTGATTTTATTTGGAATAAATAAACTTATTCAAATTGAATTCATTATAAATACCATGGAAATATATTTTAAACAAAATAAAATTACATGTTACTAAAATGCTGTAATTGAAAATTCGTTATTTATATTGTTTAATGAATGAATGTTTTATTTGTTTTCGGGAAATGCCACATACAAATTCAGTTGGTTATAATATTGAACAGTGATCATAAAAAAATAAAATAACAAAAATTTTACAATTTATGTAAAATAATTCATTGTGTTACAATGACGACAACTCTCCTGCCTGCATTTCTAAATAGAAACAATGAGCTATAATACAATACCCCATATAATATAATATACACTAGAATAGTAATATAACACAGTAAGTAATAAAATGCGTTGTAATAAATAGTATATATATATATATATATATATATATATATATATATATATATATATATATATATATATATATAAATAAAAGCATAGTATGTAAATATAGATAAATAGAAATTATAATAAACTATAGATAATGCAAGAAATTATATTATGATTGCTATACAAATATGTGTCATGCATAGATAATAAATACTATATACAGGACAATTTTAATAAGAAACTGTGTGTTTTTTTTGTTGTTGTTTTTTTGAGCTTTCGTATGAATTGATCTGACACATGGGTGAACCGAACTTTCAAAAACTTAAATCATGATATATCGGGGAACAATTATTTCGATAAGAAATACAATGAAACGATAATAAAATGGATATTTAAGGCCAGAGCAGAATTAATACAATTAAACTTTAGGGTGTATTATAAAACAAGTAATAAATTTTGTTCATTATGCAATAGGAATGAAATAGAAAATATCGTGCATTTCCTTGGTGTATGTCCTGTTCTGGCGGAATTTAGGAGAAAATATTTCGGAAAAGCCTGGCATTTGGGGAAATAATTGCACTTTTAGACGAAAAAAATTGTGTAAGTCTATCCATATCCATATTATTGTAAAGGAGCCTGGCAATACAGATATGCCTTATGCCAAGAGTTAAATTATTAGATGAATAATGTTTAAGCCGGAAAAATTATTTATGTAATTATATTAAAATATCTATATTAAAAATGTGTATGTATTTATATATGTGTATTTATATTTTTGATTTTAAGAGCTGATACATTGTATTTCTGTATTTGTTAGCATTAACACTGTATTTATTAACATTAACATATTAGGTTTTAGTTTATATTATTGTATCAATAATACTTAATTTTGCCAAGGCCAGCCTCTGACTGACGGTTTCAAGAAACAAGCCGTATATATTTTTATTGAGCTTGGATACTTTTGTTGTATGTTATTGTATAAATAGTCAATAAAAAATTCATTCATTCGTTCATTCATTCACTATATACATGACAAAAAAATTTAACATAACAGTTCCTTTCATTCCTTTTCTCTGTTTTTAACTCTTTATTATATTATACATTGTCTGTACATCTTGATAGACTCTACAATATCTCAATTTTCTATCTAACTACTCCATTCTCAATGTTTTAATTTTACTATTTATTTTATTTTCATTTCTTATATAACTTTATATTTCTTTTTTATGTTTTTACATTTTATTCTAAGATTCCCAATGTAGCACTTTTGTCACCCCTTTTTGATTATGTCTACTTCATCATTCCACACTATGTAACAGTTTTTATTATTTATCTCTTAGTTCTTAGTCATTATTCTAACAATTTCATTTTACTTTATATCTATCTATTATAATTTTTTTTTTTTTTTATTTATTTTATTTTCTCATTTTTTATTATCTTTTTTACCATCATTACTTATGTTTCTCATACCTTGTTATCTGGTTATTTTCTTAGCCCTGATGAAGGCCTGAACTTCAGGTCGAAACGTCGGCATATGTAAAAAATAAATATTATAATTTATTTTTTGCCTTCCTTTTTGACTGAGCACCCCAACTATTCTTCTCTTCATTATCCACGACAGTCAACCAATTACCAATTATAAATATAAATACATTTATTTATCAAGGCTCAATGCGTTGGTAAAAATAAAACAATAATAAAGGAATGTCTTGGCAGTCAGTTCAGTGATTGATTGTGAATCCTGACTGCCTTGTCAAGGAACCAAACTAGCTCATGTTAAGTCTCCTTCTTGAAATGACGTAGTAAGACAACTAGCTTATTAAGCTGTCAGGACTAGATAGGCCTCTCCTCTCAAGTTGTAAACACCAAGCAACGGTACCTGGGAATAGTGATCCTCTCTGTTCAGTTATCTTTATATGTATTGCTATTTTTTATAGCATTATTATAATACACGACCTGTTTATGACATGACATATCCATGTGTCGTACTTCCTGATTGACAGGAGCCTCCTTCTAGCTCTTTAAGGGGGGA